ACCTTTTATTGTTTTCAAATAAAAAAATAGCCAAAGAACATAAGACTGATGATTACAAACTTTCTAAAACGAGCATCCTGAAGTACCTAGGAATTCTTCTCTACATGGGAGCTCACCATGATGTCATTAATCCCGTGGAAGAGCTTTGGTCACTCGACCACGGAAAATCTATTTATAGAAATAGCATGCCACGTGACATGTTTAAATTCATTTCTTCACACATCGAAACTTACGATGTGGGCCAGCCAGATGATGTTTGTGATGATGCATCAGACACTTCAGATGATGGGGATGTCGAAGAGAAAGAGGAAGCTGAAAACGGGCCAGAAGGAGAGTATTTCAACTGCGCGGAATATTCAGATCGAGATTTCAGAGATCTCTTTGAAGAGCAACTCAGGAAAGATGTCAGAATCAAAAGGGGCATCGTTGGTAGTGGAGTTGTTAAAGTCGTCCCTGCAATAACTCCAAATGCACACGACAGCTTTTCTAAAATTAGAGTGATTTTAGATAAGTTTATTTCTAACCTTGTCAACCAAACCTATTACAAACCTAGTAATAGTGTTTCGGTTGACGAACATTTGTGTTCTTATAAAGGGCATATGTGGGCTAAGGTGTTTATTAAGTCTAAGCCTGGACGTTATGGTATAAAGTTTTGGGTTTGTTCTATTTTTACCAAATGAGTTTTATTTATGAAGTCAAAAATGACGGATAGTTATTATTGGTTTGACATGTATGATCAAATTTAATAATTTAATTATTTGTTTATTTGAGTTATTTATAGTTTTCTAACTCGTAGATGTGTGCTGACTGTGAGACAGGAATGACTCTAAACCTCCAAATGTACTGTGGTAAATGTGGTGGTAAGGAGGACAATCAGGGCTTTAGAGTGGTCAGGGACATGGTGCTACCCATGTTATGCCGTGGTAACAAGTTTACCGTTGTGTGTGACAACTTCTTCTGTACGTTAATGTTGTCACACTACCTTGCTTCATGTGGGTGCCAACTTTTGGGAACCATGAGGATTAATAGGAAAGAACTTCCTGACGAAGCAAAGGCCATCAAAGGGAGAACTCCCGATACCACCATCTTTTTCTCGAAAGGAAAGTGTAAGCTCATCTCTTACTTCAACGAGAAAAAGAAGCTGGTATTGGTCTTGTCAACCTGCCACGAAAAGAATGAAATTGAAGTCGTCGAGCAGGATGTGTTCATTGGCAAAGAAAAAATGACAATACACAAACCCCAGCCCATCCTTGATTACAACCACAAAATGGGTGGGGTTGACACTGTGGATCAGATGACCAGGTATTATACGTGTAGACGTCGAACAAACAGGTGGAACATCAAAGCTTTATATGATATGATTGATATAGCTGCCTTAAACGCGGATAAAACGTACTCAAATTACCACCCTTGCAAATGAGTGGATTTTTTGAACAATCTTTCTGGTGCTTTAATGAAAATGAAATGATTTTTCTGTTTTGTTTGGTTTTTTATAAAGTAGGAACTGTTTATTTCATTCAATACGTGCTTTTTTATTGAACCTCGAAAAAGATTATCGTGAAATAAAATAAAAATAAGGGTCATTATACCATTTTTTTTCTTTTTTTACTTATGGATAAGTTTTTAAAAACTTGTGTTATAACAACATCGTGATGTCGTTACTCAACACCATAAACAACAGTTGGTAAAGTATATACATGAGTATTATGGTGATAATGGTGTTATAATGGTGTTTGTTGATAATTCTATCAAATTGTAAATTTATTATTACAAAACTACAATTTATTAAATTTCCATTTTTATAAATAATATTTTTTATTATATAATATAGTTCAAAATATTTTTTTATTATTTGTTAAGTTTTTTGCTATTTGTTTTTTTGTTTATAATTTGTATTATCCCTTTATTTTTAATTTAAATTATTTGTTTGTTGCCCAAAAATGCATAATTTAAAAATGCATAAACAGTGAATGCAAAATAAGCATTTGATTACCAAATACAATAACATTTATTTGAAAATGATAATATCAAATCAATTTTGCCCTTTGTTTTTGTTTGAAAATGATAAAAAAAATAAAATAACAAATAATGAATTCATATCTTGCTTCTTTGACAGTGGCACGACTTGAAACTCAACGGGTGACCATAAAACCTCATGGTGATCAAAGTTTATTTAAACGCGACTATATTGACTGTTTAAGTCATTTTCGAGAATTTTTCTCGATTTTGTGATTTTTGATACTTTTGAAAATGTATTTTAGATATTTTTTGTTTATTTTATACTTATGTTCTCTAAGATTTTTTTTCAAAGTCGGAACAAACAAAAGTGTCTTTACATCTTATCTTATTTCTTTTACAAAAATTTAGTAAAACCCAATTTTTTAAATTATTGTATTTTTCAAAGTTTACAAAAAAAACTATTTATTTTCCCTTGTAATTGTTTTTGAGATCAATTGCATATTGAAATTTCAAGACACCTCAAAGTCTATGCGTTTTTATTTTTTCTTTGTTATTTTATGATGCAATTGATTTTGAATATTCTGGACCAGTATGTTTTATGATGCAATTTGGTCTTTGTTATATTTTATAATAAATTTTATTATTGTAATAAGTTGTGGACATCTCAATAAAATTTTGATCTGACTTTTCCATTGAACTGTGACTTGTTTCTGAAAGGATCAAGCAAAAAGTGAACCTTTGTTCATCTCAACTTCAACAAAAAATTCACTTTTTTTTACTATAATTTATAACATTTTACTATAAAAATATACTAGAGCCGTCGTTCCAGGGTGTCTAGCTTTTTTTTGAAAAAATTAAAGAAAAAAAGTCACATTTACATTACAATTGACTAAGATTTTTATTTTTTTACAAATTTTGATTTTTCCCGTCCTCGAAGGGTTAATGTAATGTTTATATTTTAAAATAAAATTATTATTTTAAAATATTAAAATATTTTATTATCCACACAAAACATATTTAAAATTTAGAAACGACATTTACTGATAACAATTGTCAGCCAACTCTAAATACCCGTTCTTAAAATTTGTTCTCCGATGTCACTTCTTACGTTTTTACACGAGACGCGACTCGTTATGATCACATCTTGAACAGTTATAAACAAATGTATTTTTTATGGTTTGTATTGTTATATTTTGTTTTTGTTTTTGTTATACAACACTTCTTATTGTCTTTTTTTTATAGTACTTGTTCGGGATAAAATCGTAATTAATTTATTTTGAACTTGGGGGTTTAAGACAATTTGATGGGTTTTTACTATGCTTGTAGATGTTAAAACACTTGAAATAAACAATTACTAAAAAATAATTTTAATAATTTATTAAATAATATATTGATAATAAATGTTTGAATCATTGTAAAAAACAATGTTAATTATTAATTATTGATTATCGTAGAATAATAATCATGTTTTCGACATTTTAAAACATTAATCACAAACAAATAAAACTGAATTTTTTCAATTGTATTAAATGTGTGTGACTGTTTTATACTTAGTATTTGTAATAATTGTTGTTGCGGAGTATTGTCTTGATGAAATGGAATGCCGCAATGATATCTATCAACAATCTACAAATTGTTCTTCGAAAACATGGCATCTTTTTGAATCAATTTTAACACTAAAGTCTAATGTAAATGTTAATACCATTGGCATGAAAATAGAAAAAAGTTCATTAGTATGTGAACCAAATTCCAATTTGATAGTAACTGGTATTTTTTACTCTTTGGGTAATTCCTCTTATAACAATTTAAGATTTCAACCTTATTCACACTATTCATTCAATGATTCAACACTTGTCTTAACGACATTTTCTTTAGATGATTCATCCACTGCAATAAGCAACAGTTTTTCTTTTGCTGGTACAAGTAAAGGGACATTAGGAGGTTCTTCTATTTTTAACACAGATGTATTGAAAATACAACAAACTTCTAATTTAGAAGCTTATAACACATCTTCTATTGAATGTAAAATCATTTTAATTGATGAAGCTTCTATGGTTTCATTATATAATGATTCAATGCTAAATTCAAACACAATCGTGACAACTTCTGGAGCAACATTAAATATTTACAACAACTCGACTATCAAATGTGACTTATTGAATTGTACAAATGGTTCAAATGTGAATTTGATTAACAACACTGTCATACACACAAATTCCATTGATATAAATAATGGGACATCTCTACATTTGTATAATAAAACCTTTTTGGATATAAACAATTTTTTGACTTTCATAAACTCCGTATTAGATCTCAGAGATGGCTCAAGAATACATTCAGATTTCATCTACTTGAAACCAATAAATTTCGCTTTATTTTCAGAAAAAACATTAGCTATGATGGTCTCCAATTTTTTATCATTTCAGTTATCTTCTTCCTATGTTTTGACAGTGGAGAAATCCCCTTATATCAAAACCAATTTTTTGACTTTAGATTTTTTAGGTGGAATTATCAATGTAATAAACAGAGAAAGGTTTGACATGCCTTTATTTGTGACAAAAAATAGTACAATTCAAAATTTAAATGAAATATCAATTGCTGATTCGATTGAACAATTTGATTTCATTTATTCAGATGAAATAATTGAAAACGATTTTATAACACCCAAATGTAAAATCATGAAAGGACAATTAATTAGGTGTGGTGGCAACATGGATGATACTTTATTTTGTCACATCATTAGGGTGTCAAATAACAACAACAAGTACATTGAAAGTTGTTATAATGACTATATTGAAGACTATTATTTGGTTCCAATTAATGATGTTTATATGATTTTTGTCAGGAGCGAGTTATCAAAAGGTGTTGTTAATAATAAAAAATCAAATAAAAAAGAATTAAACACACAAACTTTATATGTGACTTTGGGTGAAACAACTGTGATACTGGATAAAGTCACTGATTATATCCACATTAATGTCACTTCCCAAACTCCAAATGAAATTACCACCAACTTATTTTCACAATTATCAAATCAGAAACAAATTCTTGTTACGTTCTCCAGTTCAAAAGGTGTTTTATTTGTACATTATCTATGTAGGAATGGGTTTATAACCACAAGTAAAATTGTTTGTATCTCAAATGCGACATGTGAAAATGGTATTTTTGATTCGACAAAAGGGCAATGTCAAAAATGTCAACATACAAATTGTGCTAAATGTACATTCGACGACCAAATTGAAAATTGTCAAAAATGTGATTCTCCTTATGAACTTAATAACAATACTTGTATGAAACAATCAATTTGTAAATTATCTGATGGTAACACGTGTATTGTATGTAATGATGGGTATATAATTAAAAATAAAGTTTGTGTTAAATTAGATGGGAAATGCCAAATTGAAAGAAATGGTTTGTGTGAATTGTGTGATCCTGTTTTTTCAAGTTTAATTTCTATATCAGGCGAGTGTAAAAGTGTTGAAAATGTTATTCAGCATAGTGCGCAGAGTGTTTTAGAATGCAACAAAGAATACATATCAAATTCTTCATATTGTAACAAGTGTGATCTGATACAAGATAATTGTGATATTTGCGACTTAATGTTTTGTACAAAGTGTTTAAATTCTTTTGTAATTTCACAAAATACAAAGTGTGTAACTTCTTCATGTGATATTGTTAATAACACTTTTAAAGATCAAAATGGTAATTGTCTTCCAGATATAACAAATTGTGAAATTGTTGTAAATGGAAAGTGTGTTAAATGTATTAATAATTACTTTTTAGAAAACAATACATGCATAACAAACAACAATAACACTTTATGTGCAGTTGGTACTTCATTCGGATGCACTCGTTGTATCAATGGTTTTTATTATTCTTATAACACGAAAACGTGTGAACAATGTAACTCGAATTGTCAGACATGTCTTAGTCAATCAATTTGTTTGTCATGTAATGAAGGTATGTTTTTGAGTGACCATGTGTGTAAGTCAAATGATGAATTAAAAGGTTCATGTAAGAAGTTTTCAAATACAGGAAGTGGGTGTTATCAATGTTATGATGGGTATTATAGAAACGGAAATGATTGCAAACATTGTGACATCAGCTGTGATACATGCCTTCGCTTTTCTGATTGTTTCACTTGCAATTTAACTAATTTTAAAGATTTTGAAGGTAATTGTAAACCACAGACTGATCTTATTGGATGTGCAGTTCAAGTAACACAGAACGGATGTTCTATCTGTAAACCCGGCTATTATTCAACAAACAATGAATGTGGAATTTGTTCAAACAATTGTAAAGAGTGTATTTTATATAATAAGTGTTCTTCATGTCAAGATGATTATATTTTGATTAACAGTGAATGCAAAATCTATTCTTCAGTTGACTCTTGTAAATCTGGAATGGATTCCAAGTGTTCCAAATGTTCATTTTGGAAGAAGCCAAATGAAAGTGGTACCTTCTGTCAAAACTCACCAGTTTGGTGGCTAATAGTTATTATTATAATTATAATATTATTAGTTGTGGTACTCCTTATAATAGGAACATGTATAGCGTTGTCACAACTTTTGTCTTCAATCCACAAAAAACAAGTTGAGTTGAACACAACAATATTCAATATGAAACAATCAAATGTTTCATTTACAAAATTGTCAAATGGTATTTTGGTGAACAAAACAGTTTTGGATTTTAATGAAGAAATTGCAGAACTACCGATTGGCGAAAGTACCCGACAATTAATTTGTATTGGCAATGCAAACAAAAATCCATATAAGATACAATTTTCAATAAAAGAAGAAGAGACAAAATTCACACTGAAAATAAATCCTGAATTGGCTGTTTTGAAACACGACGAAGCTTGCGAATTTGAAATATTTATTATTCCAAATTATACCACTAAAATTGACAGTAAAATGGTAGTTATAGCAAAGAGTCTCAAAGTTCAAAAAGAGATTTATAATGATATCAAAATTGAAGGGAATACCGCTCTCTCAACAAGACTTGACCCAACTGAACTAATTGATAACGAAAAAGTTGGTGAAGGCAGTTTTGGAGTTGTTTATAAAGGCACATTCAGAGGCAATTTAGTTGCAATTAAAAAGCTTAAAAACATCTTAAATGAACAAAATGTTCTTGATGAATTTACAAAAGAAGTTGATATGCTTGACAAATTCCGATGTGATTATATTGTACACTTTTATGGTGCAGTTTTTATTATTAACAAAATGTGTATGATCACAGAATTTGCAAAATATGGAAGTTTAAATGACTTAATAAAAAACAAAAAAGAAACAACAATACAAAAAGATGTTAAAAGCAAATTCATCAATGATATGGCAAATGGACTGATTTATTTACACACAAACGGTATTGTACACAGAGATGTCAAGCCGGACAATTTACTCGTGTTTTCACTTGAAATGAATGACAAAGTTAACGCAAAATTGACTGATTTTGGAAGTGCAAGAAATATTAATCTACTGATGACAAACATGACTTTTACAAAAGGCGTTGGAACACCAGTATATATGGCTCCTGAAATTTTGAAGAGAGAAAAGTACAAGATGAGCGCAGACATCTACTCGTTTGGAATAACTTTTTATGAAACTTTAAAATGGGGAGAAGCCTATGACAAAAACGAATTCAAGTTTCCGTGGAAAATAGCAGAGTTCGTTATTTCAGGAAAAAGACTGGAAAGAATGGAAAACATGAGTGAATGCCAATATAATTTGATACAAAAATGTTTGAGCCAACGACAAGAAGATAGGCCGAATATTGATAAAGTTGTTGAACTTTTGAAATTATAATTATTTTAATTAACATAAAAATTGGTATATATTTATTTTATTATTTTATAATAAAATTGTGTAGACATTTAAGACAATCAATAAACTTTAGCATACTATCAATTGGATATGTCTTAACTTGTGTATTCATTTTGTTATTAAAACAACAATTTTTGCTTTAAAACGATCATAAATAAAATCAAAAATATTAAATTATAATAATAATTTCGATTTATAAATAAATGAATATCAAAAATAATAAGATGTACAGTAGGAGAAATGAACTAGGATCATTAGAACAATTAGGGCAACTTTAGTAAAAAATGTGAAACGGTAAAAAAATACATTTTTGGGACAAAACCCTTTATAGGCAATAACATTATTTTAATAACAAAAATTCAAATAACATTTTATCAATAACATTATTCATTAAAGAAAATACCAATAACAAAATCCAAATAACAAAAAAATACAACAATTTGTTTAAATTTTAAGAGGATGTCTTTTTCTCGTCGATCATCACCTCTTATCCCAAGCCGCAGAATATTTTGATTGTTTTAAATGGATTTTAAAACCCAGTTATAGACACCTCTCATAGTAATAATACTTGAGAGGTCTTATATCACTCAGGTTGTTGCTTTCTATTGTGTTAATGGATGACAACAGATTAATAAAACAGATGTGAATGAAACAAACAGTATGAAATAAATTGTTTTTTTCGATTTTTTCTTTAAATAATTAAAAATTTTAGTTAATCACTTATTAACCCTGAATATATAATAAAGCTATTCAAAACTATTAATATTATAAAGAATTATTTTTTCAAAATAACATTTAAAAACAAAAAATGTAATAACATTTTAAACTGTTTGGAATTAAAACATGAACAATTTGGTATTACAACATAAAAATATTATATAGTGTTATAGTAGATAAAATAAACATGTAAAGTGGTTCATTTTCATCATAGGTTGTCAAAATATTATCATGAAATAACTATAAATTCACTATCACAATATTTGTTAAAAGACACTTGGACTGTTAATACCATTTTCATGAAGTCCAAAGTTAAAGATATGATGAAAAAAAATCTTAAGTCACAATTATATTATTTTGCATGTTGATTGTTAATTCGAAAAGATTATACCCATATGAAAAAACATTTTCTATAAACAAGGTATTTAACATTAATTATAATAGAAAATGTTCAACATTTCATAATTGTTTAAATCTGTATTTCCCGTGATTTAACGGTGTTTTGGCGCAATGAAATAGAGAGAGAAAAAAACAAAAATGTTGAAAAAAAGAAAAATGAAATTAGTTTGAATTGATTGGACAATTTTGTAAAGTTTCAGTTTTTTTCGAAGGGTTAAAATGATTGGTTCTTTCCAAATTGTGCACATTTATTACAACGGGAAGAAGCCCTAATCATTAGGAGTTTTTACTAAAGGTTCGGATTCATTTCTAAAGTACCGGGTCCATTTTCCCTACTGTAACATAATATAGATAAGATAAATAAACATTTATTGGTAAAGAAAATCATTTTTGGTTTTCAATGAGTTTTTTTAGTTTGTTATTATAGTTTTTTTTACTTAATTAATTATAAATAATTGTGCCAATTAAATTTAAAAAAACAGAATTGTTGTGGAATTTTTATTCGAGCATAATAAATGGAAAAAAAGTTGTAACCATGAATCAAGTTGATATGGTGTTAAAATAACTCTTATACCACCAAATCACTAAAACAGTTTTCAAGTTGATTTTTTGTGTATTTAATTGATTTTGACAGATTTTTTTGGTATTCATTCGATTTTGTTGCTCAACAAACTGAATATTTTTATAATCGAAGTAAACAAGAACTAAATAACACTTTTTCCTTTTCTAAACTTTTCCCAGAACTGCTTTTATCCATATAAAATATCTTTAATTATAACACTTTTGATATATAAAGGGATTTAAACTGTTTTACTACTTTATCAGAATATTTATGTCGTTTCAACGTAAAACCTTTACTATCGGAGAACCTTCACACAAACCCGCACCACCTCTCCCACATAAAGCAGCACCACCACCTCCTCCAGCTAAAAAGGCACCTCCTCCATTACCCAAGCAAAAAGTACCAGAACAAAAACCTCAAGGAGATTTTGAAAAGCCGGAAATCGAACAAAAGGAGATCCCCGTCTTTAAAGCAACGACCTTTAAAAACGAGCCAACTCAAGAAGAAAATATAACCGAAAGTGCCCCGCCTTTACCGAAGAAATCTGCCCCACCACATCCTTCTAAAAGAGCAGCTCCACCACTCCCAAAACAAAAAGTCGTTGAAAATACAGTCGACGAACTTTCGGAGCCAATTGTTTACAAAGAGTTGCCAACTTTTAAGCCCACAAGCTTCAGTAATGAACCCAAGAAGACCCTAGAAGACGATGTAGATGTGAACAAAGTTAATCAAGAGCCTCTTATAGAACCAAAGAAGCGAATGCCCCCACATGTCCCCAAAGAAACAATCGATCAATTTAACAGTAAAAACACTGAAATCACCGTGTTGAAGACTCAAGAACAAAAAGCGCCACTTCCTTCACAATCACTGAAACCAAAAAGCTCAGAAAAAGTCGAGAAACAAAAACCTCAAGACCCTGAACCCAAACCAGGCCAACCAAAGTTCTTCCCAGTTAGTAAAGAGCCATTCCCTGACGTCTTTTTTAAAGACATTTCAGATGACTCAGAAAATTTATTGGACACTTCAAATCACACAAATTCACCAACGCCGTCAGACTCTTCAGATGAAGAAAAGCCAAAGAATCACAAAGGAAAGTCCACTCAAAAAATCGACACAAAAAACAAGACGGAAAGTGCTCGAGTGGTTGCTGGAGACGCAAAAGAGATTTATAAAAAACTTCCCCCAATGACCGACGAACAGAAAGAAAAAGCGAAAACTCACGCCGCACAAGCCTCCAAAACAGCGTACTCGGGCGCAAAAAAGGCGGTAAAAACAGAAGAGTTTCAATCTGCGAAAAAACAGACCGCAAGTGCTGCGTCGTCGGCAGTCCACTCAAAACAATTCAAAGAGTTTTCTGGAGGGCTTTTAAAAGGGACGAAAAGTGCAGTCAAAGGGGATGCCAGTGCTAAGGACGTATGGAAGATGTCGACGGAGAACGTCTCTTCATTGGACGACAAACAAAAAGCCGAGTTAAAAAGTCGAAGAAACGAAGCGAGTAAGACCGCCGCGTCGTCGTACACCAAAGCGAAAGAGACGGACGAGTGGCGCGATGCCAAAAGTCAAGCCAAAGTTGTTTCAAAGGAGATTGGCGAGAGTGAGCAATTTAAAGTAGCTGAGAAGGAAGGGAAGAAGAAAGCTGCAGTACGGATGACTGGAAATGAAGACGCCGAGTTTGATCCATCTATTCAATTGGAGACTTCAGTGAAGCCCAAATTGGTCGTCGACGAAAATGGGAAGAAAACTGTTGCTCTTGGCGTTACTGTGAAGCCAAAACTTCAAAATGAAGGAGTTGATGTGAGTGATGGTAAAAATGGCATTCACTTTGAAGAAAAAGTCGACAAAGATTTAAAATGTAAAACAGAAAATGTTAAAGTGGTCAACGAAACAAAAAGTGAAGGAAATGGAGAGCTGAAATTCAAAACTAATGTGAACGAAAATGACGTCAAAAGAGTAACAAAAGAAGAAGGGTCGGTTAAAGATCGAATAAAAATGTTCCAATAACTTTTGTTGTTAATATAGTTTTTGTTTAATTTAATGTATTAATAATATAGAATTTGTTGTGGCTATTGAATTTTGAAATTATTTATTTTGTATTATACTATAATTAATAATTAAAGAATTATTACCATTAGAACAATTCGAATTAATAATGAAATTAATATTTAAATTATAAAAAACTATTATTTGATAATTTTTCATATTTCATTATTATTCAAAATAATTATTATAAAAATGAATGTATTATATAATATAATTTTATTAATTAAAATGTATGATACAAGAAATGGTATAGTTTTATTTTTGAAATTTGCTAAAATGAGTTATTTTACTTTCAAGATTGATCTCTAAATGTTTTTTAATTATAATTGCAATTTATTTATCACAATAAAAAAGTCAAAAAATAACATCCACAATTATATCGAAATCAAAGGGTTTTAGCATTTTTTGTATTGTTGTAAATGATGTTGTGCTCTATAAATAGTATACTTAATATAAATTTAAAAACAACTATTAATAATAATATGTGTTTGGAAGTGTTCAAATTTGGTAAAAACAAATAAATTATTTTTAAACAACATAAATTATTGGATTGAAACAAAAGAATTTATAAACTTTTTAATAAACCCAATGTTTGACTAAAAAAACATAAGTTAATCATTTAAATTAAATCATTATAAATTGATGAATAAATATTTTTATATTTTTTTAATTTTTACTTAGTTCTGAGTCTCTGAGAACATCTGATGCCATTTCATTTGATAATTTTTATTTTAATTGACTTTATAATGAATTAATGTTGTGTTGAGGTGTCTCTTTAAACCAAACAAATACGTTTTTGAATAATAAAATACAACAAATAATACAAAATAAATAACTTTTTAAATATTAGTCATTATTTATTAACTAATATTACAGAGTATAATAATAATTAATAATTCCAAAAATGCATAGAGATGAGGGGGTTTCAATTAATTATGTAGAGCAAATAAAAAGTGGTATTTTAATCTGGCATTCAAAAACATAGAATAATTATAGAGTCAGTCGATAAACGTTGTCTGTTCCCCAAACGTTGTCTTTTTGACAAAAAATAATTGATTTTTGTTTTAAAAAAACGGGAATTAGGTAAAAATGAAAAAAACTGGGAAAAATATTGAAACAACGATTTTGGGGTTTTTCAAAAAAATTCCGAAATATTCCATTTAAAATGGTCTAAAAATCGGCAGACAACGTTACAGACCAGACAACGTTTAGCAAATAACTCTATTTAAACTTCGATGTTGTGGTGTTTTATTTATTTATAACACAAATTTGAGCAACTTAAAATAACCTTTTAGTAATTGTTTTTAAAACTGCATTCATAACTTCTCATTTTGTTATTAGTTCTGTCAAAGACTTTGTTGTATGGATTTTTTATTTGTTGATGGCTCTTTATAAATATCACAACTTTTTCGATTTAATTAACATTATTATTTTATTTAACGTTTTATTAATTTAATATATAAAAATATATTGTTAAAAACAATACAACTCGTTATATACACATTTTTTATCATTTAAACAAACACTTTTAATGTAAATACAATAACGTTAATAAATATCAACAAACTAACAAAAAAGCTCGTTAATTAAATTATTTCACATTTCAGAAAAAATTATGTAGTTTTTGAATGATTTGAGTACACAAATATAGAGCTACAAGGGATTAAAAATATAAAGGATACAACGAAATACAGTCAAACATTTATTTATTAATATTTATTATCATTTTCAATAATCCATCCAATTAGACTGACTACGCAGAAAATTATTGAATGAGCCTTAATTAGCTTTTTAGAAGGGGTGGTAACTTCAACCGACCATTAATAAATGAAAAAACTTGGAAAAGTATACAGAACCAAAGATGAGCATATGTTCATTGTCATCAACCAAGAGTGATAAACGCAATAAAACATCAAAGTATACAATACAAAAGAAGATGGTGAAAGACTTGGAATGTTATCAAGAATCCATTCTTGTGTATTTAATTAACAACTTTTGTTCTATCACTATTGCTCGACCAAGAAAACAATCAACTGTGGCTTTGTGTTGTGCTAAAGTTAAAATTTTGCACTTTAAGAATGGGGAAATTGATGTCATGAATTTAGCAGAGAGTAGACTACGACCCACATATTTGAAGGAAATTGAAGATGGGATAGCAAAGCCAACTGCGTTTAGAAGGTATGAAAAGAACAAGAAAATATTTGTTCACAACTTTTTGTTTGATATTGCATTGGAGTTGGGTTTTACATTTGACTCGAAACTCTCAAGAAAGTCCGAGAAGACTTTTTCGATTGAAAGATTTGAAAGAATTTTTTTCAAAGGGAAAGAGGTGTTTAATTTACAACAAATAGTCACCGAAGGAGGAATTATTACAGATCATTTGTTTGATCTTGTCGCGAATGGAAATAGTGTTAAATTAGGCCGGTTTGATGAATTTCTTCAAACAACAAACAGCGCCCATTTTTTCCAAACCAACTGAATGAAAATTTTTATAGAATTGTTTTTTAGTATTTGTGTTTATTATATTTATGATTTTATATCGGTAAATAAATTGTTTTACATGATATTTAATTGGAACTTACCTGTTGATAAAACTTAATTATATCGGTAAGGTATCTTGACAAAAAAAGTAAATTTATAATAGAAAATTGAAAATAAGAAAAAAATGTATCCGATATAAATTTACACATCTTTTAATTGTTTGAAAAATAACAAAATTTCAAACATGAGTCTCTTAAAAAAAACATGTTATTAATAATCGAATAAAAAACTAATAAATCACATTCCAACAACAAATAGAATGGGAAAAGTAGATGGATTCCATTTAATGATAGTGGCCAAACACTTTAACATAATACAAGACTTTATCAATGTTCAATTGGTATGTAAAAAATACAAAGAGACTCTCATGAAATTTCACTACAATCCAATTCCAATTAATTTCAGAACTCGAAAATATTTTCCCAACCTTGAAACACAACATTTATTTTCAAAGAAAAATGAAAGGTACAAAAATGGCAAAATAGTGAAGTACAAAATATTATATCCAATTAGTGAGAAAAAATACATTCGTGAAAAAAAGAAGTCTAATATAGCAAACTGTGTTGTGTTTAAATCCGAAAACTCTATAACAAATGCTTTAAATTTGGATTTAGAAAAGAACCCAAACTATTTCACAAGTTATGGGTACGAATTATTTAGTCACAACACATCTTGTACAAACTTAACAATTCCTTCAAATATCACAGCACTTGGAATGTGCTGTTTTTATAGATGTGAAAATTTGAAATCTATAAAAATCACTGGAGATGTCCAAGTAATCCCCAAACATTGTTTTGTGTTTTGTCAGTGGTTGACTCATGTAGAACTTCCAAACACACTTTATGCACTCCGGGCAGACTCATTTGCATTTTGTGATGCTCTCAAGACAATTCGACTTCCAGACAACTTGAAAGTGCTTGCAGCAAAATCTTTCTCGCATTGCACCAACCTTGAAAGCATTGTAATTCCAAGTCAAGTTGTTTCTATTCCAAAAAATTGCTTTGAAAATTGCAAGTCGCTCACTTCAGTGATTTTGCCACCAAATTTAGAGAAGATATCAAAGTGGGCGTTCAAAAACAGTGGACTCAATGAAATCGAGTTACCGCCCACTCTTACACAACTCGGTATAAAGTGTTTCTCAGACTGCTTTTATTTGTCACACATTTCTACGTCACTCGAAGAGTGTCGAAAAACAGGAGTTTGTACTGTGCCAAGTAAAATCAGTGAATTGAAATTGAAGTGTTTTGAATGCTGCAATTTTAGTGCTTTTTATATCCCTTCCAATGTAGTGGTTGTGGAAGAAAAGTGTTTTTATTGCTGCGATAATATGACGTCACTCACTGTCGAGGAAGGGATTATGTCTATTGATCCTTCATATACAAGTGGATGTAATGAACTTGGGGATATCGTATTGCTTTCAAAAGACGTAAAAATGGGTAGTATTTGATATTTAAATAATGAATAATAATAATAATGGGAATAATTGGCAATAGGTGGGATTCGAACCAAGGGTCTATAGTAAACATTTTAGATACTTGACCAACTTTCAACAAAACTTATTTGTTTTTTTAATTTTAACTTTAGTTTATAAACATAGATCAGTTGATTGGAATCAAATCAAATGAAAAATTCATCTGAAAAATATATTATATATATACTATAATGAACTATATAATAAACCATTTCAAATGTAACTCAATAATAACAGATGTTGGAGAAACACATTCTTCGTTCGAAGTATTCACTCTGCAATTTGTACCCAAACGCTCATTCATTTATTGCCGAGTCTGTTATTTTAGGTTTGTGTGGTGTTTGTTCGCTCCCAATGACTTCTTTGACACAAACAGTGAAGTGCAAATTGTGTGGATTTTCGATTCACAAAACATGTGTGGAAAATTGTTTCACTCTTTGTCGAGGAACTTTTGTGGAGGAACAAAAGAAGAGAAAAAAGCCTTTGATTTTTAGAGACGGGTCGTCCCGAGCCAAGAACTCACATCTCTTATTCGAGTCATCATCGTCTGGCTTGGCGTTTTGTAGCTCTTGCAAAAATGTGATAGCTCCTTTTACTCACTTTTTTGTCTGTAATTTGTGTGGTATTATCTTAGACAAAAACTGTGGCAATGACGGGGAATATCCGTGTAAACCATATTCAACAGAGGAAGAATCAGACACTCACTGGTTTGTTCAGGGGTGTTGCCGAGAGTACTCGACCGGATACTCAAAGTGCTTTGTTTGCAAAAAGCAAACGGGGAGTTCACTTGGGGTTTTTGATTTCCGTTGTGTGTATTGTGGGATGTGCCTTCACCCCGAGTGTATCCCCAAAGCACCTCATATTTGTAGCAACTCAATTCTTTCAGACTTTATTATAACACCGCGACTTGTTGAGTTCAACAAGAAAACTTTATTCGCTCGTTACTCCACAACTAAAACCCCTTTATTATTCTTCACCAACAAAAATACCTTACCTGACTCTTCTTATATCTTTTTCCAAAAACTTCAACAAACATTTTGCTCTCAACAACTCGTGGATATCTCACAAGGCTTTGATGAACCATTCACTTTTATCAAAAACTATGGAAATCGCTTCATTTGTGTTATTTTTGGAAATAGTTTGTTTTATTGTTCTTTATATAATTACTTAACTATAATTATTTAACTATAATTACTTAGTTATAATTATTAAATTATAATTACTAAACTATAAGAAGGAACTCTAAGTAAAGTCATGGACGCAATGCATACAGCCGACTTGACTCCTAAGTATTTGGTTCTTCCTTCTCCAAGCAGTGTGGACTTATCTGTGTGCAGTGGGTGGGGTGCGTCTATCGACGTGACAAAAATCACCCCCCTCCTTCGACAACTATCAAACTCCCCTCCAATGCCTTTCGATCGGTGGAGTCTCTCAGTCCATTCAGAAAACTCCAAAGAGCACTTTAAAATCGTTTTTAATGAGCATCTTGTCATTCCCTTTGATAATTCGATGGTTCTTAAAATAGACGGTCTAACTCTCAATATTTCACATGAAAAATCTCCAAAAGTGGCAACCATTTACATTATGAATGTGGGTACTTTTAATGGCAACAGACCGACATACAATATAAACAAAAACGAGAAGTTCTTTGGCATGACTGACCCGTCACCATGTGACGGGAAAATCGAGGTTGTTGAGTTTGATCAATCACACTTTGTTGGACAAGGGAGCGTCATCGAGCTCATTCTGTTGGAACAAAAGGAGTTTCGTGTTGACGGAGTTGGGTATGTCATCCCTCCATCAACACTCGTTATCTCAATTTTTGATAGAGTCACACTCTTGGCTAAAAACCCGACACTTTAAAGCCTATTTTTGTATAGTTTACAAGTGGTTATTTTACTATATATTATAGAATTTGTTTTTCAACTTGTTTAATTTCAGTGTTATTTTAAAATTTTTTAATTTCACAATATTTTTTGGAGTAAATTGTATTAATAACATTATAATAAAAATAAACCACAAATATAGTAATAGTTATTTATTAGTTAAAAAATAATTTAACAAACAAATGTAATTTAACTATTAATTAACTATTAATTAACTATTAATCAAAGTTTTTCAAAATCACAATCCTAATTTTTTTAACCAAAATGATCATTTTTTTTAATAAATTCGTATATTATAATACCACATTTGTGGCAATAATTATTTTGAAAACGCCTGGTTTTAATTAATTATTAATTAATTATCAACTATAAATAAATTAAAATAAACTATACAAATAAACTATACAAATAGTCCACCCCCAAGTCAATCACTTATTGTTTCTCTTCTTCTTGTTGTTTTTCTTCTTTGGCTTTGACTCAACTTTCTTCTTCTTCATCTTCTCGATCTTTTCTGCAATTTTATTTCCTTTTTTGATTTCTGATTCTGAGGATGTAGTCAAAGATTGGTCTTTAGAAGAGTTAGTAGTAGAAGAAGTAGAAGTACTTGATGGAGTTGTTGATACTGAAGATGTGTCGACAGGAGCCGACGAGTCTTCTTGAGTATCCATTTTGACGTCTTCTTTTGAAGAAGTGTCTTCCTTCTCTTCTTCTTCCATTTTTGTGTCTGATTCCTTGTCTGCTTTCTCTTCTTCCTTTTTGTCGTCTTTGTCTTCATAGACCTCTTGATCATCATCATCACCAAAATCATGCTCAAGCCAATTTTTGATTTCAACAACTTCCCCTTTGGAACTCCTCTCCTCATCTTCAGAAGAATCTTCAGACCCAATTAGACCAGTAGGTACTATCCCAGCCTCGGCTTCTTCTTGTTGCGCCTCTTCTTCCATTCCCATCTCAGCTATCCCAGCTGCAGCCTCAGACGCATCTATAACTGTATACCCCGCTAAGTGGAGACTATAGGGGCCTTCATTGATTAAAGTGACTTCTTCATTCCGACCAAAAACTAAATCAAGTGTTATTTGTTCACACTCAATTGGGGTTAACGTCCCTATTAATATTTTGTGTCCGGCAGCCTCTAGAAAGATATTTGTACGTTTCATTTCATCAACTTTAGCTTTAACCATGATACACTTCTAGTTAATTTTATAATAAATATATAATAAATATATTATAATTATATAATTTACACTGTTAGTTCTATTGTAATATTATTTACTAAAACATTGAATAGTTTGAAACAACTAGAAACCTCTTATCTTCAACAAAACAAACTGCGTTCGTTAAATGAATCATCTCATTTGTGCTCAACTTTTCGTTTTTGTTTGGTTGGATCACAACAGACCAGAACATGAATGAAAGCTTTTAAGTTCCTCAAGTTTTTATTAACAAACAAATTTTCATTTTCATTTTTTATAAGACAAAAAGTCATAAGATCTTAGCATTTGATGTCTGATTGCCAGAATATAT